ACACACACACACACACACACACACACACACACACACACACACACACAACTGCCCAACTCTCAGAGTGCAGTAGGTTAAAGCCAGTCTGGGTCACACAGAAAGCACCGGTGCAGTCAGGGCTGTGTGGAAAGATCCTGTCTCAACTAAGCGGTGTCAGCACCCGGTCCTGTTTGCTGGAATTCTTCACAGAGTCAAGCACGGGAGATGCCAATCTGGAGGAAATGCCAGGGCTCACCCAGAGAGGATTTGGGTCTTGTGCCCACATGTGGGGGAATGAAATCGGGGTGCGCAGACCTTCTTTGTATAGTGTGTGTGGGGGATTAAGCTGCAAGGGTGAGGATGGGTCCAGGGAGAGGCAGGCTGGGGTCAGCTATGGCCAGAGCAGGAGGGACAAGGTGGACGCTACGGTGTGGCCCGATTCTCAAGGGCCCAGCGCCGTCAGCCCTAGGTGGTGAGCGAAGGAGAGAGGCTTTCAATGGAGACTGCCCCGGCCGTGCCCTTACGTTGTGTATCCCTGGGGAAAGCCGGAGGAGAGCCATTGGGGAGCAAAGTCCAGCAGTACAGATGGAAATGAGGGTGTGCTGGCTGGGGCTGCCGTCACAGCCTGGCAGGGTTGGCATGACTCAGCATGAAGTCCTGGTTCTCGCACCCACAGTGCCCATGGTAGCTGGGTGAGGTAAAAGGAGTCTCTCCACACCTCTGTTTCCACTGAGCTGATGCAGCTGCCCAGCGCGAGGTACAAAAATTCTCTGAGGGGATCCCAGCTCCGTTCCCAATACCCATGGCAGGCACCTCCCAACTGCCCGTAGCTTCAGCTCTCTGCCCTCTGACGCCCTCTTCTGGTCCCCGAAGGCATCGCATGCACACATGCACACAAAAGCTTTTAAAAAATAAAATCTTGCTGGCCAGCGGTGGCGCATACCTTTGGTCCCAGCACTCTGGAGGCAGAGGCAGAAAGATCTCTGAGTTAGAGGCCAGCCCAATCTACAGAGTGAGTTCCAGGACAGCCAGGGCTACACAGAGAAACCCTGTCTTAATAAGCCAAAATTAATTAATTAAGTAAATAAAATAAAATCTTAAAAAATTCTTTAATTTAAAATATTATTTTTAAATTAAATATAATTTAAACTAAATTTTTAAAATATTCTTGCCATGCATAATGCTATCTATATCTTTCTTTAATCCCAGTACTCAAGAGGTAAAGACAGATGGACCTCTGTGTGTCTGAGACCAGCTTGGTCTACAAGACAGCCAAAGCTGCATAGTAAGACTTTGCTTGAAAAAGAAATTGTGGATCCCACTTTTCTTATCTTCAATATTTCTCTCAAGTTCAGTTTAGTCACAGATCTAAAGTGCATTGCAACTTAGAAGGTTTTGAATACACTTGCAAACTGAATATCTTATAAAAAATGCTTGGGACCATAAATGGTTAAAGATTTTAAAAATATTTACATATGCACAATGGGATGTTTTCCCAATTCCAAGCATGAAATTCATTTACGTTTGGTGCACGCCTTATGTAATTTTAGACACCATTTTAGAAAATTTTATGCATGAAACAGTTTCATGATGTGGAATTTTCCACTTGTGGCAATGTGTCAGCAACTCAAAAATTTTTGAATTTTAATTTTTTTTTTTAAGACAGGGTCTTTATCCCAGGCTGGCCTGGAACACCCTATACAGCTGAGGGTGACTTTGAACTTTTGAGTCTCTCGTTCCTACCTACAGACATGCTACACTCACTGAGTTGGGATTTGGGAATATTTGAGATAAGCATCTCACTATATTGCCTAGGCTAGTCTTGACCTCGTGGGCATGCTCAGTGTCCCCAGGGTTGGGACTAGAGCCTCGGGCCTCAGATTTTCAATGTTTTCGGTTGTGGGATCATCAAAGCTAAAGAAATGGTCTCAGAATAGAGTCTCTTTTCTTCATTTGTACCCAGGGCTGTTTGGTTTCCTGGGTATGTGACTGAGACTTGTCCTTTCTGTGCCTGGTCTAGCAATGCTTTGCGGACAGGACAACCATTGTTTCTAGGTTAGGCAATGTCATGGGACAGCCTTCACCCAGAGGGGCACCAGGGAAGCCCTTTTGTCCCTCTGTCCTTGCAAGGTTGTCACGTACCCAGAGCTATTACATGTGTGCATGAAGAAACAGAAAAAAGTCCCAGGCAAAGATGGCTCAAAGTATAACGGCACTTGCCACCAGTCCTGAGTTGGAATCCTTGGCCCAGCACGGTGGAAGGAGAGAGCTCAGGCCTGTTGTCTTCGCTTTCATGGACATGCTGTGCTATGCATGTGCCATGCCGCTGAAAAATCATTTTTAAAAGTGTGTTGCACTTTCAAACTCCCTCAGCTTCTTCATCTGTTTTCCTTGTCCCTCTCACTATGAGCAGAACTGAAGCTGTCAGTAATGTGTAGCTTCAAGAAAACAAAATCAGGGCCTGGAAAGACGGCTCCACCTTTCAGAGCACTGGCCGCTCTTCCAGAGGATCTGAGTTCGGTTCCCAGCCCCCACATGGTGGCTCCCATGTTAACTCCATGCTAACCCAGTTCCAGAGGATCTGGCGCCCTCCTCTGATCTCACAGGCACCAGGCACACTTGTGGGTGAGCAAACTTGCAAGCCAAACATTCATGTAAGTCAAATGAATACATAAGGAAAAAAGAATCAGCGCCGACTTTAGAGACGCACTTTTAGAACAGTATGAAAGAGAGAAGAGACAACTAAAGATATCCAACGCCCCCATCCACCTCCTGCACAAGGCTGACGCTGCGGTAAGGCGGGCCCCTCCCTGCAGTGACTCGGGCTACAGGGTGGAGAACAGTGGGCTCTTCACAGACACAGACAGCGGCTGGGATGGGAGATGGCACAAAGTGAGTCTGCCTCTGGTACGAGGGGCTTCCGGGGGTGCGACACGCATATCCCCTGACAGGCAGGAGTACTAGCCTGGGAGGGAAGCGGCCTGCCAGGATGGCGCTCGCTGGTTGGGCTGGGGGCAGAGACTTACTGCAGAAGGTCCTGGGCTGGGCTATGTCCTTGTTCATAGTTATCAGTGGGTCGCTGCATGCAACTGTTAGCATTCATCAAGCCGCATACAAAAATGGATGGATTTTTATTATTGTTATTATTACTACACTCAAGCTAAGGGTCCGTAAAGGTAGAGAAATGTTTCTTCTGTCTTTGGACCAGAGATTCACTCCTGCCCCCCACCCCCACCCCTCTGGCTCTCACCCATGGGGCTGTGAGGGGGTGCCTCGGGGTCAGCGTTGTTACAGGCTGTGTTTCCTGTGTTCGTGTTTGGTTTCCTGGCTTTTACACTTTTCAGAAGTGTGAGGTAGAGGCATTAATTCTCAGGAGGCTCTTTGGGAGCACAGGGGGACTGTTCCAGAGAAATAAACGATCCCCCTGTGTCTCTGCGGCGAGGACACCACTGGCCAGACTGTGCCCGTTAATTCTGTTAATTCTCCTGCTTCCAGTCACCACGGCGCCACTCCCCTAGATTAATCAATGCTTAAACCATTGCATTAATTCAGTTACAGAGAACATGAACCTATAACATCTGTGAAGCATCTATTCTGAACGAGGAGCCGACTCATGCTCAGCCAGCCAAATGAAAGAAAAGAATGTTTGTCCCTCGGAGTCTGATGCCATGCCAACAATTTAATCCCTCAAGACTCATGTTACCTAGAGCATTAAGTTCAAATGAAGGAATCTGAGAGTTTTTTTAAAAAGAGTTTTGGCATATACTGATCATTCTTAGGACTCTTAACTAGAATGCCTCATTGTTTGCATACTGGACTGTGCATACTAAGAGCAAACTTCACTTCCTAAGAGAAACCATTTTATCAGTTTTTATATATTTACTATTTATTAGTTATTATTATTTTATTTTACATTTCTGAAAATGTTTAGCCACTTTTCAGATTCTTCTTGGTGTTGTTATTATTCTTGAAGACTTACTTTTACTTTATATGTGTGTTTGCCTGCATGTATGTTTATGCACCGCATGCATGGAGTGCTCCAGGAGGCCAGAAGAGGGCAATAGATACCCTGGAACTGGAGTTACAGGTAGTTGTGCGTTACCCAATGTGGGTGCTGGGAATTGAGCGGAGGTCCTCTGCAACAGCAGCAAGTGCTCCTGACCTCCCCATCTTCCTTCCTGCATTTGCGTATGTGTATTAGTGTGTGTGAGAGAGAGTGTGTGAATTTGTGTGTGTATGTCTGTGTGTGTGGTATCTCTGTGTGTGTGCGTGTGTGATGTCTCTGTGTATATGATACATCCATGAGTACTCGAAAAGGCCAAAGGAGAGGGCAGGGTACCCTCTTTGTCATACTCCATCTTTTTCCTTTGGAGCGGGGCCTCTCCCTGAACCCTAGAGCTCATGTTTTGGCTATACTGGCAGCCAGCAAGGCCCAATGATCCCTGTCTCTGTTACAGGCATATGTGGAATCACATTTTTACATGGGTGTGTTAGGATTGGA